GTAGTGAGTGAGAGTGTCTTATCGTCCCATTGTTTTTTTTCCCCATGTAACATTTTGAAACTTAATCTAAACATTGTGGCAGTGACCGCAGACATGTGTGTTAATATAAATAATGGTCACGTCAGCTGATACGACAACCAAGACTCGTGTTTTGTCTTTTGAGAAATTATTAATATAATATATTTTTTTAATCAAGTTTCTAAGATCAAATCCAGGTTAAGTTTTTTTTTTTTTTTACGAAATATTCCGAAACATGACAGGAAAAATGTAAGATAATTGTTGTTTTTAGTCGGGTTATGTAGGATAATTGTATATTGTTAAAAAAACATAATTATCTGCATGTAGTTTGTTTAGTACATATTTGATGGTAACGTGAATATGAGGGATTGGAGGTGTAGGAATGGGGAAGGAACATGATAATAGAATATATTTGGTGTGGTAAGAGTTAAATGGGTGTAGAATGTACTGTGGGTGTAAGGTGTAGAGTGTACTGTGGGTGTAAGGTGTAGAGTGTACTGTGGGTGTAGGGTGTAGAGTGTACTGTGGGTGTAGGGTGTAGAGTGTACTGTGGGTGTAGGGTGTACTGTGGGTGTAAGGTGAGAGGTACTGTGGGTGTAGGGGTACTGTGGGTGTAGGTGTACTGTGGGTGTAGAGTGTACTGTGGGTGTAGGGTGTAGAGTGTACTGTGGGGTGTAGGGGTGAGTGTACTGTGGGTGTAGGTGTAGAGGTACTGTGGGTGTAGGGGAGTGTACTGAGGTGCACTGTAGGGTGCACTGTGGGTGTAGGGTGCTGTGGGTGTAAGGTGTAGAGGTATCGGGGTGGGTGCATCGTGGGTGTAGGGGTGTAGAGGTACTGTGGGTGGGCGTGTAGAGGGTGTAAGGTGCAGAGTGCACTGTGGGTGTAGGTGAGTGCACTGTGGGTGTAGAGAGGTACTGTGGGTGTAGGGTGTAGAGTACTGTGGGTGTAGGGGTGTAGAGGTACTGTGGGTGGGCGTGTGTAGAGTGCTGTGTAGGGGTGTAGAGGTACTGTGGGTGTAGGGTGCAGAGGTACTGTGGGTGCAGAGTGTAGGGTGTAGAGTGTACTGTAGGTAGGGGTGTGTGGGTGTAGGGTGTAGAGTACTGTGGGTGTAGGGGTGTAGAGTGTACTGTGGGTGGGTGTAGGGGTGTAGTGTACTGTGGGAGGTGTAGAGTGTACTGTGGGTGTAGGGGTAGAGTGTACTGTGGGTGTAGGGTGTAGGAGTGTACTGTGGGTGGGGTGTGTAGAGTGTACTGTGGGTGTAGGGTGTAGAGTGTACTGTGGGTGTAGGGTGTAGAGTGTACTGTGGGTGTAGGGTGTAGAGTGTACTGTGGGTGTAAGGTGTAGAGTGTACTGTGGGTGTAGGGTGTAGAGTGTACTGTGGGTGTAGGGTGTAGTAGAATTCATCATGTGTTGTTGTCAGGTAACACCCAACGGCGTTGAAAGTGAACTGCAGCCAACGGTCCCACAAATGTACTTTACGTGTCTTGACTAATTATATTTTTTTTGTAGTCTTGCAATCCTTTATACTTGTCAACCATGCAATTATTTCTGAGGATTGTCTTTGTGGCTTATAATCCAACTTTTACGATGCCGTGTGTGTGTGTGGGGCGGGGGGGGTGGGGGGGGGGTGCAGAGTGCTGGACTGATCACCGCTTAATTATGAGCAAACTGCGACTTCTCATCCCTCCACCACCACATAAACAAAGATCCAATAAGAAAAGGCTAAATTGTACCGTGTTGAAGGACATTAATACATCCAATAACCTCCGCTGCTCCCTGGCTGAGAACTTAACTAGCATACAACTTCTCCTGAACCCTCAACTCCCTACATGAAATATGGACCTCCCTTAGTTCAGTACTCTATGAGACAGCAGCCAATAATATTTGTTATAGAGACAAGAAACACCCAGACCTGTTTGATGAAAGTGCCGTGGAAACTACTGCTCTTCTACTGTAGATGCACAAGGCGCACAATGGGTCACTTAGTAACCCATCATCTGAAGGTCTAAAGAAACAATGGTAAAGCCTTAGAAGAGATGTACAGTCCACCATACGGGTTCTACAAAACGACTGGTGGACCACAGACGCCCAAGAAATACAATCGTGTGCAGATACTAATGATATGCATGACTTTTATGATGCAGTGAAGACCACCCGTGGCCCAAAGAACTGCTCCGTGACACCTCTCAAATCTGCTGATGGAACAACTCTTATTAAGGACCAAAAACAAATAGGAGAAAGGTGGCCAGAACACTTCCAGGCCCCACTCAACCCACCTATACCCTTTCCACACTAACCTGGCCCATAGGCCCCGCCCCTCTTCTATACTAATAGCTGATTGGTTCATAGAAAATTCAAACAAAATGTGTTCACAATTAGTAAGCAGACCTGTTAATATCTAAAATAATGTTAAATATATGGATTATCAAAAGGCAAATTATTTTAAGACATAAGTATTTCAGAGAGGATGTGAGAGAAAAAATTAATATATATATATATATATATATATATATATATATATATATATATATATATATATATATATATATATATATATATATATATATATATATATATATATATATATATACAGTATATATATATACGTGCTTATATACATGCAGTCTGGGGGAGGTAAAACGCTCAGGGGAACCAATCAGTTATTTGTAGCTGTAGACGAGGGACGGGGCTTATGGGCCAGCTTAGCCTTAAAATACTACAATCAAGTCGACTCTTTAATATTGGAAGAAGTTCCTACTCTAAGTTCACTTTGGCGGTCAGACCCTTGAAGAATAACAAGACTCGTAGTCCTGACGCCATCGCAGCTGAAATTATTCGACACGGAGGCTACCTTTACTCCTGACCACTTCACCTTTTTATTCTGGAGGAATGTGACCGGGAATGTGTTCCTCAACAATGAAAGGATACAAACTTAGCCACGCTTTACAAACAGGTGGATGACAAATCAATCTGTGTCAATAGCTAGTAGAAGCATTTCGCTGCTGGCCGTGGCTGGTATAAGGTCTTGGCCAGAGTGACGCTAAAGAGACTGATGCGTAACACCTCTCAACTCCCGGAATCCCAGTGTGGTTTTCTTTAATGATCGTGGTGCTGTGGACATGATTTTTACCGCAACACAGATACAAGAAAAATGTAGAGAATTGCACCAGAACTTGATTATAGCCTTCATAGATCTCTGTAAGGCTTTTGATGTAAACAACAGAGACATGTTATGGGGCGTCCTACATAACTTTGGTTGTCTCCTCAAATTCCTTAACATCCTGCGTCAATTTCAAGAGGGAATGATGGCTGGTTTGACCCTTGGGAGGGGTGGGGGGGTTCAGGTATCAGAACCCTTCGGAGTCTGTACCGAGGTGAGATAAAGTTGTGTAATTATACCAGTACTTTTTAACATCTTTCTTGTAAGTTTAACCATACTACATCACCGTTCCCATCCACCTCCATCCCTCCCCTCCCGTTCCCATCCCCCTCCCCTCGTTCCCACCCCCTACCCTATCCCCCCCACCCACCTGTTAGTCGCCACCACATCCACACCTGATAATACGAAACTAATTAACCTCACTCTTAAACAACAACTAAAAACAATCACCAACACTCACTAACTCCTGTACACAAAGTTAATGAAGTCGGGTAGATCATAACTATCTTGTTTAAGTTAATTAGTGCGGTAGTTTACATGGAAAGTAACCATTTAATGAGCCTGACAATGACCGTTTGTCTACCTTCCCCCTAGTAATTTATCCGCCGAGTCCAAGGTGAGGTGTGCAAGGTGGTGGTATGGTGTGTAAGGTGGTGGTATGGTGTGTAAGGTGGTGGTATGGTGTGCAAGGTGGTGTGTAAGGTGATGGTATGGTGTGTAAGGTGGTGGTATGGTGTGTAAGGTGGTGGTATGGTGTGTAAGGTGGTGGTATAGTGTGTATGGTGGTGGTATGGTGTGTATGGTGTGTAAGGTGGTGATATGGTATGTAAGGTGGTGGTATGGTGTGTAAGGTGGTGGTATGGTGTGTAAGGTGGTGGTATAGTGTGTGGGTGGTGGTATGGTGTGTGGGTGGTGGTATGGTGTGTAAGGTGTGTAAGGTGGTGGTATGGTGTGTAAAGGTGGTGTGTATGTGGTGTGTAAAGGTGGTGGTATGGTGGTGGTATGGTGCGTAAGATTGGTGGTATAATTAATGTAAGGTAGTGGTATGGTGGTAATATGGTGGTGGTATGGTGTGTAAGGTGGTGGTGTGGTGTGTGAATTAATTTGGTATGGTGTGTAAGGTGGTGGTATGGTGTGTATGGGGTGTGGGGAATTATGGTGGTGGTATGGTGTGTAAGGTGGTGGTATGGTGTGTGTGGGTGGTGGTATGGTGTGTAAAGATTGGTGTGTGTATGGTGTGTGTGGGTGGTGTGTGGTGTGTGGGTGGTGGTATGGTGTGTATGGTGGGGGTATGGTGTGTAAGGTGGTGATATGGTGTGTGGGTGGTGGTATGGCGTGAAGATTGGTGGTATAGTGTGTGGTGGTGGTATGGTGTGTATGGTGTGGTGGTATGGTGTGTGGTGGTATGGTGTGTAAGGTGGTGGTATGGTGGGGGTATGGTGTGTACTGTATGGTGGGTCATTGGATATCTTCGTCCATGTGAGAGATATACAGGCATACAGACATGGGTAAGACATACAGACAGAGGTGGAGGTGAAAATGGCGTCGGAATTGCACTAAGACTCTTGTAATTAGGGTTTGTTATTCCCCGGTGTGACTCTTCGAAAATCTACAGTTTGTTTGTCATTTGTCTACTGGTGGATCGCGGACAGAGAGAGGTGGGGGTAGTGGGGGGGGGACTCAAAGGCGAGGAAGACCTACTTTCCCTTAGTATCTACTGACGGGGGAGAAGTAAACCAGCTCTACAAGTGTGTGCTGATGACCTGTAGGCGTGGTGGAGGAGAGACTCCTTCATGACACCAAGATCCCTTCACTGACTTACCGTCAATCTGGTGTTCTTGTTGTTCCTGGCGTCGATGAAGTCCCTGGCGAAGGCGGCGCCGAACTTGACGTTGTCGCCGCAGCCACCCCACTTGAAATGGCCGTTGGGGGGCTCGTGGGGCACCCTGCCACACCCACACAGCACCAGCGTGCCCTGGGAACACGCCCGCGAAACCGCCCACGTCACTGCGGCCGAACTGAGGGCGTACACTACCGCCTGCTCCCGTGTACCTGATGGCCAGGAGAGAGGGAGAAAACAAGGTGGTATTATTTCCATTATTAAAAGCTTCCGTTTAGGGGACTAGTTAAACGAGCCCATGTACTAATTGGTTATTAAGACTTCCCTCAGTCCCTATCCGCTCCAAACTAACCTAACTTAGCTTTAGGTCTGAGGCACATCTGTCTTGTAACCGGAAGTGACACTGTGGTATTATGAAGAGCTTGATACTGTACAGTTAATGACACAGTAATATGTATACGGTCTCATAGGCATAACTCTTCCTCCGGGACAGTATGGGTATAGCACACTGTATACTAAACCTACAAGGACATACTGTTCTTTACCACCATCACCTATATATAATCAAGTACTGGACCCATGTACAGCTGGGTGGACTGTGGGCACCGCGGGATCATAGCAGTATAGCAACCCTTAAGGCTGTGTCCACTGACCTCCCACTTTGTAAAAGTTTAATGATACTATCACTCTCACTCCACTTACGACTTTCTTATAATTCACAAGTTGGAGTCACCTAACAATGTTGCCTCAGCGTGGCAGTAAACTTTACGATCCCCGCTAGTGAGAGGATGACGTTCTCCCTCAGTGTTGGTCACATGTGCAGCCGCTACCATTGGTAAGCTCTGAGTTGTGTTGGATTACATGAGGATTAGCCCCCAGCGTATTTCACCTGATAATTTAACACCCTACTGCTACCTGGAGAGTGGTTATGTTTGGTTTGATTAGATTAGTTTAGGTTGGATTAGGTTATAGTCGTAGCTGTATATACACAAAGACAAGGCTCATAAATACTAACACAGAGTCAGAGCAACAATAGAAATAGTGTATTGCCACACACACGATAGACCTTAACCTTGCCAACCACCTGGCCTACCCTTGTTTGTGTGTGTGTGTGTGAGAGTTGTTATTGTACGGGGCTGGTAATCTTGTCCCTGGAGATGAAGCGACTAGCTCATCATCGTCGACTGCACAATGCCGCCTTTTACCCATGACTGCTGGACGAGGCTAACTCTTAACATAAGAACATAAGAATGGAGGAAACTGCAGCGGGCCTATTGGCCCATACTGGGCAGTCCCGTTTACACCCAACCCCTATTGCTCATATAAGCATCCAACCTATGTTTGAAGCTATCCAGCTTATTCGAGTGAATGATGATATTTGGTAACTTGTTCCATTCATCCACTACTCTGTTTCCAAACCAGTGTTTACCTATTTCACGCCTCAATCTAAATTTGTCTAATTTAAAACCATTGTTACGAGTTCGCTCCTGGTTGGATAGTTTGAGTACCTTTGTAATGTCCCCTTTGTTTAGCCCTGACTTCCACTTATACACCTCTAGCAGGTCGCCCCTCGCTCTACGTCTCTCGAGGGAGTGCAAATTAAGATGCTTTAACCTGTCTCTGTACTCAAGGTTCCTAATGCCCGGGATTAGTCTTGTCATTCTCCTCTGAATTCTTTCCAAGGATTCTATATCCATCCTGTAATACGGTGACCAGAACTGAACTGCGTAATCCAGGTGTGGTCTCACAAGCGCAAGATACAGTTTTAGGATGACCTCGCTAGTCTTGTAACTAACACTCCTTTGTATGAACCCAAGTACTTTATTAGCCTTGTTATGAGCAAAAACACATTGTTTACTTGGCTTGTTAGTTCCTACTTATCATTACTCCCAAATCTCTGCAGTTGGATTTCTACATCGTTGTTCATCTGGTATCTGGGTTTCCTGTTTATATCTCCTATACTGATCATGCCATTTTCAGACCATTCGAAAAAATTTGTTTAGATCTTCCTGTATTTTGCGGAGTCCAGTCAGATTTAATAACGTCCTGTTTTAGTGTCATCAGCAAATTTACTTATGTTGCTGTCTACGCCATATCTATGTCGTTTATGTATATAATAAATAATAATGGTCCAAGTACTGAGCCTTGGGAACTCCACTTGTGACGTTGCTCCAATGGGACTTAGTGCCGTTAATGCTTACTCGCTGTTTCCTGTCCTGTAACCACGCCTAATCCATTTAAGGATGTTACCTTTGATGCCATGTGCTTCTACCTTTCTAATTATTCTTTCGTGGGGGACTCTGTCGAAGGCTTTGCTAAAGTCGAGATATACCACATCATAATTGTGCCCCTCGTCCACTGATTCGAAAACTGATGAAAAGAATGTTAATAGATTAGTTAGACAAGAACGTCCACTTGTGAAGCCATGCTGGGAATCATTGATCAATCCGTGCTTCTCCAGGTGATTTCGTATAGAGTTTGAAATGATTGCTTCCAGTAATTTGCCTACTATTGATGTTAGGACTGAGTGGGCGGTAGTTAGAGGATAGTGATCTATCCCCCTTCTTGAAAATCGGTATTACATTCGCTATCCTCCAGGATTCTGGTACTATACCTGTTTTTAAGGACATGTTAAACAACTTTGCTAAGGGCATACTAAGCTCTTCCTTACATTCCTTTAATACTCTGGCAAATATCTCATCGGGACCAGGTGACTTATTAGGCTTTAGTTTGTCTATTTGCTTACTAACATCGTTACTAGTCACTACTATCTCGCTTCATTTGTTTTCTTCACTATCTCTGAATAGAGTCGGTGCCTCGGGTATCATGTTTAAATTTTCAGTGGTGAAAACTGTTGAAAAATATTTATTCAAATTATTGCTCATTTCTCCATCGTTATCAGTGAGCTCGCTGGTATCTGACCGTATTGGTCCAATCTTTTCTCGTGTTTTAGTTTGATACATTTGGTAGAATCCTTTGGGGTTTGTCTTCGCCTCCCTTGCTATACTTACCTCATTATTCCTCTTGGCTTTCCTTATCTCGGTTTTAACCCTACTCGCCAATATCTTATAATAATTCTGGAGGTAAATTTCGCCACGCTTTATCCTTCTACCTATAGCCTTCCTTTGGCCAATGATGTTCTTTAAATAATTATTTATCCATTTAGGGTCTTTGTTGTCTGATCTGAGTTTTTTGTAAGGTATGTTCTGCCTTTGTGCATTAAGTAACTCATTATTTAAATTGTCGTGGAACTCGGCAATCTCAGATCTCGTTATCAGGTCTGAGTCATCTGTCAGGTTCACGGCCAAGCGCAACACCCCCTCTCTCAGCTGCCTCTTTAAACTATCAAAGTTAGCCTTTCTGAAATCTAGTCCTTCAGTGGAATTTTCCTTACGTCTGCCCTGAAAATCTAACTGGAATCTAATTTCTTTGTGATCTCTGTTTGCAAGTTCGTTTCCTACCTCGACATTGCTAATGAGGTTTTCTCTGTTCGACAGAACTAAATCGAGTATATTATTACCCCGTGTGGGTTCGGTTATATGTTGACTTAGGAAACAGTCCTGGATCGTCTCGAGAAAATCCTGTGATTCTGAGTTACCCGTAAGGTCAGTCCAATCTATTTGGCCAAGGTTAAAGTCGCCTACTATACAGACTTTGTTGTGTATGGAAGCCCTGCGCATTTCATCCCAGATTCTTCGTAATTATAGGGTCATCATTTCTGGAGGGGCTATATAATATGTTTGGCTATTGTGGGTTTGTCCTTTCATCGGAAGAGATCATTGTTGTATTTAGTAAGAGTGGGTGGGCTCTCTCTCTCTCTCTCTCTCTCTCTCTCTCTCTCTCTGTCTCAAGTGTCCTCTACTTTCTCACATCAGAGTTAAAATCGGATTTGTTAGTGGGTTTGATTTTCTTTTGGTCGATTTTTCACCGCCACAAGCTAAGAATTACTTGCATCTGATGTGTTACCTGACCATACCTGATGTGTTACCCGTCCATGCCTGATGTGTTACCTGTCCATGCCTGATGTGTTACCTGACCATACCTGATGTGTTACCTGTCCATACCTGATGTGTTACCTGTCCATACCTGCTGTGTTACTTGACCATAATGTGTTACCTGACCATACCTGATGGTTACCTGACCATACCTGATGGTTAACTGACCATACCTGATGTGTTACCTGACCATACCTGATGCGTTACCGAGCTCTAGTTTGTGTTGACACTGTTAAGTCGCTACGTTTTGTAGGTTTAATGAAAAAACTTGTTTTAACGTTTATATACTTGAAATGGTACCTCATGTGAGAAGGATTTGGGAGTAATGATAAGTAGGAATCTTAAACTAAGGCAACAATATGTATTTGCTCGAAACAAGGCTAACAAAGTAGAGGTTCACACAAAGGAGTGTTAGTTACAAGACAAGCGAGGTTATCCTAAAACTATATCCTGCGCTTGTGAGACCTCATTTGGATTAGGCAGTTCAGTTCTGGTCACCGTACTACAGAATGGATATAGAATCCCTAGAAATAATTCAGAGGAGAATGACAAGACTAATCTCGGCCATTAGGAACCTTGAGTACAGAGACAGGTTAAAGCATCTTAATTTGCACTCCCGCGAGAGACGTAGAGTGAGCAAATGGAAGTCAGGGCTGAACAAAGGGGACATTGCCAAGGTACTCAAACTATCCAACCAGGAGCGAACTCGTAACAATGGTTTTAAATTAGACAAATTTAGATTTAGGCGCGAAATAGGTAAACATTTATTTGGAAATAGAGCAGTGGATGAATGGAACAAGTTACCAAACATTATCATTAATTCGAATACGCTGGATAGCTTCAAACATAGGTTGGATGGATATATGAGAGATAGGGGTTAGGTGTAAACGGGACTGCCCAGTATGGGCCAACAGGCCGCTGCAGTTTCCTCCATTCTTTTGTTCTTATGTTCTTATAAATTAAGAAAAAGACGCAATGTACTTACAGGTGTAGGTTTAAAGTACAGGTAGTGATTAAAAATGCATGTACAGAAATAAAAGTAGAATTGACATACAGTTTTAATAAATACAAGGTGATAACAGTACAAAATAAAGTATTTTGAACAAGTGTACAATAAAACATGAGGTGATCTTGTACAGTACATGTTCATTTTACACGTGTCTCCCTCCTTTTACTGGGGTCATGTCATGCCACGTCATGTCAGGGGTTCGTTTATGACGATGATGATGGTGAAGTATGTGTGTGTGTGTGTGTAAAAATGGCGTCTATTAGTCTGTATATGAACTCAAAACACGAGCAAAAAATCGCAGTTGTTTTATGTATAATTAGTTATCTTCCTCAATGGGGCGAGGGGGGAAGACAGGTTATAGTTTTTGTCATTCTCCTCATGCCATATAAATCACTTTAAATACCCCAGCATGTCATTCTCCTGGTAGAGTAAGGGGTGGGGGTGAAGACGGGGGTAGGGGGGTGAGGGAGGGAGGGTGGGGTGAAGAGGTAGGGGGTGAGGGAGGGAGCTGGTCATAACTCGAGGCTTGTGTTGTATTTCATGGTGATTAACTTAACCCTCTCTTTAACGATGGTTCATAATATATCCCTACAACTCTCTCTCTCTCTCTCTCTCTCTATCTCTCTCTTACACACACACACCCTCCCACAAGATCTAAATAAGTGGTTGGGTGTTAGTTTTTATTCTTTTTGCCTCTGTTTAACCTAATGGAAGATCACCTAAGACATAAGAACTGCATTATTGAACATCACCACACCGCCTCCCCGTGATGTCCTTATTATCAACGTCGACCTTAAGAGAGACGGACGGGGGAACAAATAAAGCAGTTATCGACTCTGATCTTGAGTGTAAGCTTATTATACGCTTCTAAGTCAATGTTACATCCGTCAGTTTTACGTTTGTTATATTTTTAGAATTTGTCTTAGGTCAATTTGGCCGGTTATTATTCTGAGATAAAAATCGTATATGTAAATTTTTATCTCTTAACTAGTGCAGTGTTTATATCGAGATATTTTCCGTGCCATAATCTTCTGCCATTCATGACCTGTTTCAGGCGGAGTGTCTCTCTCTCTCTCTCTCTCTCTCGCAAATGGTGGTAGGGTAGGGTACGAGGGGTACAAAGCCAATAATTATGAAGAAAAGGGAGAATACGGAGAAGACGCGATTGAGAATTCTACGAGAGAGAGAGAGAGAGAGAGAGAGAGAGAGAGAGAGAGAGAGAGAGAGAGAGCACAGGATCGATAACTATGAGGAAGCAGAAGATTACGAAGAATAAGGTAACTGGTGAACAAGAATAAGGTAACTGGTGAACAAGAGTCAGGTGAATGGTGAGGTGCTAGAGTTAGGTGAGGTCAAGTGACAGGTGAAGGATTGGAGTCAAATGAGGTCAGGTGGCTGGTGAGGTGCTAGAGTCAGGTGACAAGTGAGGGGCTAGAGTCAGGTGACAAGTGAGGGGCTAGAGTCAGGTAACAGTAAAGGTGCTAGAGTCAGGTGAGGCATACATTACCTACCTGAAGTAAGGTCACGTGAGAGGTGAGGAGCGTTGAGTATGGAGGAACAGTTCCATCGCCTGCTGTGGAAGATCCTCTGGCAGGTGGTGACGGTGGTGGTGGCGGCGTGGCTCACCTGGGGCATTACCTCTACCTGGCTCCTACACGTGCGCGTCTGTCCCCGGGTGAAGCCATATACTTGACGACCGTTCTTACAGCTCCTAGAATGACCCCACTTCTCGTAACCACCCCGATGTAGTGACCTGACGAAGAGGAAAAAAAAAACTCTCTGTTAGTTGTGTTTATATTACGTGGGTAGTTAGCATCACCTGAAGATTAGGCACCTTAGCTTATTCTATCTGATTATTGAACACCCAACGTTACCTGGGGGGGGAGGGAGTTAGGTTAACGTTAGGGTGTTTAGCTAATTATCCGGGGGTGAGATAAACCGGAGTGCAGATTACTCAGCTGATCCAAACACGGTGTTAATATCCCATGGTACTGGATAATGTGGTACCCCCTCCCCCCCCCCCCTAACCTGCTGATAGAGGTACCAAGATCACGTGGTGGTATCTAGATATACAGATAGCTAGAGACAGACGGACAGGCAATCAAAGACGTACTGACAGTGAGACAGATAAGAGAGGAAAACGACAGATAGACAGAATCTTTATTCATCCCCGGGTATTTCTTGATGGCGGTGGTGAAGGGGGGAGTGGGCATCGATGGGAGTAGGTAACTAGGTAGGGGTGCAGGGGAGGGGGAGGGAAGGGGGAAAGGGAGGGAGGAGAAGAAAGGGAGGGGAGGGAAGGAGGGCAGGATCATTCATCACCAGTCTGTGAAAATCATTCACATTATGATAGCCGTCTGAGGTTCTTGCCTGACTGGGGTAATTCCTAGCCCCCAGCACTGTCTGCCGGGGCGCCTCGTGGTCAATTTTTAAATCCGGTTTCTCAAGAGATTCGTAAGGTAAATATCCCTCTCCCCTTCTGCTACCCTCAACTGGTGACGTGAGATAGCCACAGTACGACACACACACGGGGGAGGGAGGGGGTTTATCAGCTCAACTATTATTATTATCATTATTATTATTCGGATTGTAATTAAGAAGAAGTGTCACGGTGAATTGGTGCTCAGCTGCATCAGTCAAGTTAGTCAGTCAAGTCACAGTCAGTCAAGTCAGTCAGTCAATCGCCTTCCGCAGCTGTTCTCTTCCTTACCTTCCCTCCTCCCGCTAACCCTTTCTCAACATGGGTTTACAAAGGGAAAATCTTGTCTAACAAATCTGCTAACGTTTTTTAGGAAAGTCTTCGAGGTAGTAGATAATGACGAAAATTACGATGTATTTACTTAGACTTTAGCAAAGCATTTGACAGAGTACCGCATCAGAGGCTTCTGAGAAAAATTAAGGCTCATGGTATCGAGGGGAAAGTTTTAAATTGGATAAAATCATGGCTCACCGATAGAACGCAGAGGGTCAGCGTAGATGGTGTTAAATCTGAGTGGGGCCGTGTAACCAGTGGGGTTCCCCAGGGGTCAGTACTTGGCCCACTCTTGTTCATAATCTACATAAACGATTTAGATACTGGGATCATCAGTGACATAAGCAAGTTTGCGGATGACACCAAAATAGGGCGGCAGATTAATTCAGGGCAGGATGCAAATGCATTACAGGAGGATCTAAATAAACTGCAGGGGTGGTCTGAAAAATGGCAAATGAAATTCAACACCAGCAAGTGCAGCGTACTTAATATTGGAAGAACAAATACTATAAATGTATACAGCCTTAACAACATCAACCTAGAGAAGTCGACTTGTGAAAGAGACCTAGGGGTACTTGTAAGCCCGGACCTACGGCCTAGAAAACAGTGCGTTAATGTTCGAAATAAGGCAAACAGAGTATTGGGTTTTATATCTAGAAGTGTAAGTAACAAGAGTGCAGAGGTCTTATTGCAACTATATCTTGCGCTAGTCAGGCCGCACCTCGATTATGCGGTCCAGTTCTGGTGCCCCTATTATAGAATGGATATAAATTCACTAGAGTCGGTGCAGCGAAGAATGACAAAAATGATTCCGGGACTTAGAAACCTTCCATATCAGGATAGGTTAAAGAAACTTAACTTGCATTCCCTAGAAAGACGAAGAGTGCGGGGAGATATGATAGAAGTATTTAAGTGGGTGAAAGGAATCAATAAAGGGGATATAGATAAAGTTCTTATAATATCCGAGCAGGATAGGACTCGGAGCAACGGATTCAAGTTGGATAAGTTTAGGTTTAGGAGGGAGATAGGAAGAAACTGGTTCACAAATAGGGTGGTGGACGAGTGGAACAAGCTTAGCAACTTTGTAGTAAGTGCGGGAACTCTGGAAAGTTTCAAAAGGAGGCTAGATAGATTCATGGATGATAGAGAGTGGTAATAACTCTCGACAGGAGCTGCCATACACAGGCCAACCAGCCTATTGCAGACTCCTTATTTTCTTATGTTCTTATGTTCCCTAACCCCTCTCCTCCCTACCCCATCCCCCGGTTACTCAGAATGGTATTATCGTTAACACATCGTGACCTCTGTCGTTTCAGAGTTAATCACAGTGTTAAGGTCGTTTATGTTTTAATTATACAGTAATAACTCAAAACCAGGTACTTAGGTTAGGTGGAGGTGGATGAGGTGAGTGTGTGGAGGTGGATGAGGTGAGTGTGTGGAGGTGGATGAGGTGAGTGTGTGGAGGTGGCTGAGGTGAGTGTGTGGAGGTGGATGAGGTGAGTGTGTGGAGGTGAATGAGGTGATTGTGTGGATGAGGATGAAAGTCTGGATGTGGATGAGGTGAAGGTATTGAGGTGGATGAGACGAAGGTGTGGAGGTGGATGAGGCGAAAGTATAATGTGTCAAATTTTCGTATTATTGATATATGTTTATCTCTTATGTAAATATATATTGTAATTATATAGATGTGTAATTTTTTGTAATGCGCTTAAAAAAATATACAATGTAGGTGCCTTTAATACTTAGTCATATTACAGACAATTAAATAATTTTCTGTCGCACCGCAGAATTATATTACTTACCTATAATGTAACCTCAATTATATATACAGTGGCTTAATATATTGTTATGTAAGGTGAACATCATAAGAGCAACACAAACGAAAGACTGGCTAGGTGAGAGAACTTTGAGTGATGTGTGAAAAACTGAACCCCCCCCCCCCCACAAGTGATAGAAAAATATCTATAACCAGAGTATATATATTTTTATCTTTTTCCAGTTCACATTATTGTTGGTCGTGGTATGGCGTTGCATCACCAGGTTTAAATTGCCTCAGGAATGTACTATAATCTTAACATGGTTTGTTCATGCATAAGAAGTAGTCCCCACGATTTACCCTGCAGGGAGGCGAGTGGTGGTGGTGGGTGTTGAAGGTCTTACCACACGCGATAGTCATTGTGTGTGTGTGTGTGTGTGTGTCGAATGAGCATGGGTTGACCGGAGGATGTTCTTGTTTGGCATATCAATTATCACTCTTCGATCTGTCTCCGAATTAGTGGACACTGGACACGGTTATGATGTGGTTAATTACAGCATAACTTCACCAAACACTAATAAGTAAAGTGGAGGCTCATTATATTAAAAGGGTTATGGTGTTTTAGCGGACAGGAAACAGAGAGATATTTGCTAGAGTATTAAAGGAATGTAAGGAAAAATTTAGTAGGCCCTTAGCTTAATTGTTTATATTGTCATTAAGATCAGGTATAATATCAGACTCCTGGAGGATAGCTAATGTGATATCGATTTCAGAAAGGAAGATTGATCACTATCCTCTAACGACCGTCCAATCAATTGCAGGAATTCTTCTATTTATTTTTGTTTATTGAGAAGCAATAGTTACAAAATCAATTCGAAATCACCTCCAGAAATATAAATTGATTAATGATTTTTAACATGGCTTCACCAGTGGGCGTTCATGTCTGGGAAACTCAGGTACATACACAGGTACAGACACAGGTACAGAAGACAAACAAAACAAACAGAAGTACCAACCTTACCAAACAAACAGAAGTACCAACCTTACCAAACATGGCCTCCAGTCAGTGATCGTTAACAAGACCGTTTGAACCAGGAGTGCTGATTATTTTCCGTCCATTTAAAATAGAGCAAAAATAATATCTAAACGTAATAGTAAAAAAAATATACAATAGAAGGAATACACCATGTTAATACAAGAGGTTTAGTATACAGTACACCTAATACAACACGTATGATACACTTAACCAATACAATATAATTAATACTGTAATACTTTCTATACAATATACCTAAACACTAATAATTGTCAAAATCTCAAATGAAATGAAATGAAAATATTAAAATAAAAGGTTATGAAGAGAGAGAGAGAGAGAGAGAGAGAGAGAGAGAGAGAGAGAGAGAGAGAGGAGGCGTGCAGGAGAAAATAAAATAAATTCCCTCGCTGGAAATTTTATATATAAATAGACATTATAAAGCCAGAATAATTTCCCCGGTCTATCAGATAAGGTGGTGGCTGGTCTCAATAATAGAGGGAGGAGGTGGGGGGGGAGGGGGAAGGCACAAAGGGGTATTTTTCTTTCATTAAATAAGCGATCCATCATTCACGTGGACTGACAGTATATATATATATGTGTGTGTGTGTGTGTACTAGACCTCACACGGAGAGCTCCAGTGGTTAAAATAGGTGGACGTTTTTCAGCAGACGACGGCTTTATTTTTTCTCCCTGTCTCTTGACCCTTTAGCATTCCCGCTCACTCTTGACTCGGGATTCCAGCCTTCGTTTGTGTATTCAGGTATAAAATATTGCCCATACCTCTGATTCTTGTTGTTTGTTGCGTGTTGGGAAAAATGCCCTTTAGTGTGTTGGGGGTGAGAGTGCCTCCTACCCAGAGAGAACTGGTTTGGGTAACACATGCTGGCAGGGTTCAAAGTAATACCTTAAGGATGGAATAGGTGGAAGGGGTGACCAACACGGGAACCCAACGACTACTCTGGTGAATAAAGGTAATAGACAGGGATGGCAGGAAGAAGGAAAATTCGGCCTTGATCCCGGATTTTAGGAAGGCTAATTACGGTAGCATAAGGAGAGACCTAAGGGATGACCCTATGGTCAAAAGATTAATCCCCCCCACACCTCCGGAAACTGTCAACTTAGGACGGGATAACCCCGAATTTAATTTAGCAGCTACTTATGAACAATTTATTGCGACAATCAATAATGCCCAAAATAAACACATCCCTA